TGCAAGCACTACTCATCCATCCTGCCTCAGGAAACAGCAGTTGCACACAAACTGGCTACACTTACTCACATAATCAGTTTGTTTGTCTCATTTGCATGTGTAATAACCAACATGTATGTACAATCATGCTAATCACTTGGAGGCAACTGCTTTAAATTCATTCAAAATCTTGCCCTGCCTGTCCTTGGGTTATTTAGCTTTCACAAAGGAATTATAACAGCAATCCAGAGATTCACTCAATAAAAATCTTTGTGAAACAGTCAATTTAGTGGAGGATAAATTTTTTCTGGAATCCTGCCCATACATACTGACACTTGCACTACAAGCCAGTGCTGTCATTAGGAGCCTATCCAATACCCTCTTGCAAGACACCTAGAAAAGTACCTGATGGGGAATTTCACAATTTATGGTGTGATACTACAGGTGAAATGTAAGAGTAAATACAGAAACAAAGAGGAAGGAAACTATATAGCTCTTCTCATGCAATCTGTTGGCAGAAATGGTCTGACAGTTGTAGAGGGAAAAATTAGTGTTAAACCCTGTCAGCTTTATGAGCGGTTTAAGGAGTGTCTGTGATGCTCTGTTGTGGATACCTGCCCAGTAGGACTTGGTCTGTCAGGGCTCCTGTCATTAGCTCTGACAGACCCGGTGGAAGAAGTGGAGAACATCTCTCATGGGTGTGGCACCAGAAGCACATGGATTCCCTCACCTGCCTCTGCCACGGATGTGGCCTGTCCTCAGGCCAGTCATTTCAGCCTTTTGTGCCACCAAATCTTTTTCCTATGCCCCCAAATTTTAGGTCGCCACCTTTTCCATTGTTTTAGCTATGCAATTTATAGGACCTACTGCAGATATGGGGCATCCAAGTCGGAAGCTCTGGATGTGCCTGCAGTGATATTGGAGGTGCCTTCCCCAGCCCCCCAAACAAGTCAGCATATGCCAGATAATCCAGCAGCAAGACCTAGGAGGGGGGTACAGCTGGCTCCATAAGTAGGAACATGGACATTTTAGCAGCTCACAAAACTGAACAGCCCCCCAGTGACTAACTTTCTCACTCCTGTTCCTTCTGCAAGCCCAAGCCTGCACTCTAGGGACCTCTCTGTGCTTGAGCCCATTCAACCTCAGCTCTTTGATTGCCAGTCCAAAAGTTTTCACCAGCAGAAGGCCATGTTGTATGTTTTTTAAGGAATCATGAAAACTAATGTTACAGGAGGAAGCCCTCTCCTCATGCTTTCTTCCATTTCAAGCAGCAGTTAGCAGCTGATGCAGCAGCAAGGTTTTGGGTCAGTGCTCTGGAGCAGGGACAACAGACACTTTTTTCCAGTGGCTGCTTGCTCATCTAAGCAGCTGGAGCTTCATGCACTGCAGAGGGATTGCTGCTGATCAAGTCCAAATTTGTCCCAAGCCCCAAGCTTTTCTTGTTAACGAGAAGTGAACCTAGAAGACGAAAGGAAGGAGGAAAGGCCAGGAATTGAATGAAAAGGCTGCCTGCCACACAGAGCATCTCTAGAGGTGTTCTTCATGGTTTAAATGTCTTTCCTTCAGCTTTCTGTCTCATTACTGACAGTGAAAAATATGAAATCTGCCAAGCTAGAGGTTTAATATGGCCAAGATAGGAAACCTTATTAGACAGACAGATGGTGAGTTCTATAATCTGAAATCCCAGACTGTAAATACTTTGGGATAGAGCCCTGTGCCACTGAATGGAATGCTAATGCCTGACAGCAGCAGCTGGATCCAGTTTTCTGTGGATAACTGCTCCTTGGGTGGTTTTTGTTGGATGGTGGATGCTATCAGCATAAGGCATGCTTGCTTTAGAGAAGGAGCAGGATCCTCTAAACCCCACTGGACATATTTTATCTCTGGTTTTTGTACTTTGCAACTGAAAAGTGTTTTGAATACCAGAGAACACTCAACTTACATTCAGAAGTTTTTCTTAGCCTGACAAGATTCCCAAAGATGTATGATTGCAGTAGATCAATAAGGGGGAAAATATGTGTCTTAGGAGTACGGGTGACATCTTGCTGCAACTTGAGGGCAAAATGATAAATGTCTGTCTCTGTTTATTGCTTAGCTCCATGGCTAAATCTGCTGAACCAAAACCAAACTTTACGCTCAGATCTCCTAGTTTTCAAATTTATGTTCATCTGGCATTGCCTTGATCTTCAAAGCAGGAAGGTATATCAAAGAAAACAGAAGTTTTGACACCAATTACTGCTGCTGGATGCCATCCACTGAATAAATATAGAGTGTTAATATTTACACTGAAAGTGGAGGAGATAAAGCACACTAGGTACATCTAAGTCTACAAATAAGCCCTTCTGTGTATAGTGGGCAGAGATAAAACCAAGCAAAGAATTTAAAATTACCATTGAAACCATCTCAAACACCTTCAGAAATGTTGGGTTGTAAACAAAGAAATGACAGCAAAAATACTAAAAGAGCCTTCTAGGAAAGCAAATCAGGCACCCTGCTTCTCGGGGCTATTGCCTGGTGGTATTCAGAGGGTGGTCTTTTGAAAAAAACAACCATGCAGAAGTAGTTAACATCTAAATTTCTCCCCACTTCACCATGAGACCCTTGACTTACATTTTACTCTCTTGAGTCTGAAGCCATCAGTTCAAGCACTTTTCCCAGTGTCCCTCTCTGCTTCTCTTCATCCTGTGGTTCCTCCTACTTTTTTGCACCCTCAAGTCTTTCCCACAGCTTCTTTGGCTCATTGACCTGAGAAATCTCCCAACAAGCCAAATCCAAAAAGTTGTGGGGTTGTTCTTACTTCAGCAGCAAATTTATGGAAGAGGAAGGCACCAAGGAGAAAGCGAAAGGTTTGCTAGCACTGTGAGGGTGCACAGCTAACAATAAACATCCTTTTAGGCAACCGGTTTAAAAAGAAAAAGGAATCTTCCCAGCATTTTTCCTGGCAACAATTTAGTAACTGAAAATGAGGCTATTCTAAAATTCCCAGTACTAGACCATTGCATAGGAGGTCATTTGCATCATTCTCTTCTTACATATAATCCAATTTAGATAATGAAACCAGTGTTTAATGGCGCTAATTTTTGTTTCTAGTTGGATCTCATTCTTCAGATTAAATTACTATATCTGCAGTGTCATGTACAAATCAAAGTTATATAGTACATTTTAGTGAGTTAGAAGGTAAATGATCTTATTGCACTGATTTGGAAGGGATTTTCCTAACAAGTGGCTTTTAAAACACTTGTTGAAATCAAAATCTCAGAACTGAAACTCTTGCGTTAAATTTGGATTTTTTGAAGGTATATGGACTTTTCTCCTAAAACCATAGTTTAAGCTTGCTATATGAATTTAATTCAAGTGAAGCTTCCAGCTTTTGTAGACCATTTCTGCCTTTCAGCTTTAGAGGTGAGGCTCTTGAGAAGACCACAGTATTTCTGAACCATATTGGATCTGCATGTTTGTCCTACAGCAGCAAGGCTTATTCCACTGTAGTGACTGTCCGTTCAAGGACAAATGTTCACAAGTCTGATATTTCCTGATGGTTAGGATGTCTGTGCTGGCTTGGCTGAAGAGAAATCCTGCAGGAATCTTTCTCGAGTGCCCCAGGTGGTAACTGTGCATATTCTGGTATTTTGAGTTTGGCTGAGAGAGGTCACTGAGGAAACCTAAAATCTAGTTTATATGGGCAAGGAAGGAGTGTGTCAGATTTGCAAGTCATGATGCAGAACTCTTGTCATATGTTTTATATTTCATTGCATCTAGTCATCATGCACATACATTGCGATTGATTTCACACTGCTTTTCTATCAAGCAGGAGAAAAGCAAGCATAAGGGACCAGTTTACGCTGAAATGAATAGATAAAACATTAGTCACATATACGTGTGTTTTGAAATCATTGCTGTATTTTGGCAGTAACCTAAGAAACTAGATATAATCCCACCCAATTAACAAACGAGAGAGAGAAATCACTAGTAGAAAAAAAAAAAAAACACTCCTCAACTTGTCTGTCAGCTCTAAAACTTCCCTAAAATGACTTTAAAAGAAGATGTAATTAGGGAAAACTGGAAAGTATAGCATTAATGTCTATATAAAACAAGTATGGAAGGACAGCTTGCTTACACCATCTGAAAGCAGCAAATACTCTGATTTTGCAGTTGATGCTTTCCAGCTCTGCTTAGAGTCCATGGCCCAGGATCTGATCTGATTTATGTGGGTTTTTAGAGGCTGCTCACTGCAGACCCTTCTCCTCTCATTGCACTCTTTAGCCCAGGAGCCGGTTTCTGATAATGGATGAACTCTCCAGTGGCTGGACCTGCCCTGCCTTACTCTCTCACTGTGGTGCAGCTTGATTTGCCTGGATGAGTTTGCTCTTTTCTCTGGCTGCAGTGAGGACTAGGATGGTCAGTCAGTCATGTGCTCATGAGTAGCTCAGAATGTTTTGGAAAGCTTGATAAAGTTTTCATGTATTACACAACCACCAAGTTTCAAACTAGATATGTGCCATTAAAAAAGTGTATTACTTGTACGCTTACATGTACTAGAATTGGACACACATCTGTCTAATTAGCTATAGGCTCCCAAAATTAAAGATGTAACCATGCATTAAATAGAGCTCACTCTGAATCTTGCATTCACAATTGCATTCCTTCTTGCTCAGATTTCAGAGTCTGTTGTCCAGATGGGCTTTGTTGGGCACCTAATTAGTAGTTAATCAAAAGCTCCTGCTGTGAACTGCTTCACAGTCCTCCTGGCATCCTAGCTGCTTGGTACGTGTTCCTTGACTACACAGAGATAAAGGCAAAGGAGTTGAAGTAGATGCTTTATGTCCTTTATGCATCTGACATAACTAAAGCAGCTTCCAAAGTAAAATCACCTCAGGATGCACCGGCTATCTGACTTCAATGTACTAAGAGCAAAATTATTTTTGAAACGTTTAAATGGAAATACAGCCATGTGTTAATAGCAATGATAGACAGCGTAATATATTCTGAGTTGAACTCACTATTTTCTCTTTCCTTTCCAGATTTTGGCAATCATTTCCATCATGTTTATTGTACTATCTACAATTGCCTTGTCCCTTAACACACTTCCTGAACTACAAGGCATGGATGAATTTGGGCAGACCACGGATAATCCCCAACTCGCCCACGTGGAAGCGGTGTGCATTGCATGGTTTACAATGGAATACCTCTTGCGGTTCCTATCCTCGCCTAAGAAATGGAAGTTTTTCAAAGGCCCACTGAATGCTATTGATTTGCTAGCTATCTTACCCTACTATGTCACTATCTTCCTCACAGAATCCAATAAAAGTGTACTTCAGTTCCAAAATGTACGACGAGTGGTCCAAATATTTCGGATTATGAGGATACTCCGGATTCTAAAGCTCGCCCGGCACTCAACAGGTTTACAGTCCTTGGGGTTTACACTGAGGAGGAGTTACAATGAGCTTGGATTACTCATCTTGTTTTTGGCCATGGGCATTATGATCTTTTCCAGTTTAGTGTTTTTTGCAGAAAAGGATGAGGATGATACAAAATTCAAGAGCATCCCAGCTTCTTTCTGGTGGGCAACAATCACCATGACAACAGTAGGCTATGGAGACATCTACCCCAAAACACTTTTAGGTAAAATAGTAGGAGGACTGTGCTGCATTGCTGGAGTGCTGGTGATTGCTCTTCCCATCCCCATTATTGTCAATAACTTCTCTGAGTTCTACAAAGAGCAGAAGAGGCAGGAGAAAGCCATTAAGCGCAGGGAAGCTCTTGAAAGAGCAAAAAGGAATGGCAGTATTGTTTCCATGAACATGAAGGATGTGTTTGCCCGTAGTATAGAACTCATGGACATTGTGGTTGAAAAGAACGGAGAAAGCATAGCCAAAAAGGATAAAGTTCAGGACAATCATTTATCCCCCAGCAAATGGAAATGGACCAAGAGAACACTCTCTGAAACTAGCTCTAGTAAATCTTTTGAAACTAAGGAACAAGGATCTCCAGAGAAAGCCAGATCATCTTCAAGTCCCCAGCACCTGAATGTCCAACAGCTAGAGGACATGTACAACAAAATGGCAAAGACCCAGTCCCAGCCAAACCTTAATACTAAAGAATCGAGTCAATCTGGAAAGCAAAAGGAAGAGCTAGAAATGGAAACCCTTCCCGGCCCTATGGTGCCCTTGCTGACGACTCGCACTGATGGGATCATTGACATGAGGAGTATGTCCAGCATCGACAGCTTCATAAGCTGCGCGGCAGAGTTCCCTGACTCTGGGAGGTTTTCCCACAGCCCTCTTGCTACTCTTCCCTGCAAAGGTGGCATTAACGTGATTCAGGAGCAGAGCAGGCCAGAGGGGAGTGGTGCCAGATTTGTGGAAATGAACCCAAGCTCCGAAAGCAGCCACCATTCTGCTTTTTTCATAGAAAGTCCCAAAAGCTCCATAAAGGCCAGTAACCCTTTAAAACTAAGATCTCTGAAAGTCAACTTCATGGAAGAAGACACCAGCACATTAGTACCAGCATCAAATGTACTGAGAATATATCCAGACCCTCTCAAGAGCCGGGGAGCTGTTGCTGCTGCCACAGATACTTCCTTACTCTCTGACAGATCTCTTATGAGCCCAGAAACCTCTATCTACACAACCGCGAGTGCGAGAACACCCCCAAAGTCACCAGAGACGCAGACAGCCATAGCTTTCAACTTCCATGATGCTGGTATACACAAATATATAGACGCTGACACTGATGATGAAGGTCAGCTGCTTTATGATTCAAGTCCACCCGGAAATGTGAGTCCTAAGTACAATGTTACAAACAGTGGTTATCTAAAGCAAAAGGACAATGTTTATAGAACAGAGAAGAACCATCTAGAAGCTGCTGCTTTACCCACCTCCCCTAAGCTAATAGGGCAAAACTGCATTTACTCTATGGAAGGTATCACTGGAAGAACCCAGGGCAATCAGGAGACTGTCAGACTAGAAAATCACATTTCCCCCGAAGTCCATGTATTACCAGGCAGCGGAGGACATGCTAACACACATGATCAAAGCATCTGAGATGGGCTCCAAAAGAACTTACTGAAAGTTTAAAGGAATGTCTTTACAGTCAACACAAAAAAAAGAGCTTCTGCATGGCATGAACTTGGCTGAAACAAGCCACCTGTTTCTAAAAGTTGGGGGGAGGTCCAGTGTGGGTTTGTGAAAATGTCCTTCTCTGAAACAACTCTAAAGACTTTGCCCACATCAGTCAAAAATAAGGATTGCAAATCATGATCACACATTGATCTCTTTTCATGTTGTCCAGTGAAGCCAATGTGACCAAATATCCATCCATTCCCCTTGAACGCTAGAGCTCCTTTTGGAAATATTAACATCTGATTTGCATTAGTTCCATAAAGGATGCCAAGGCAGCCAGATTTGAACTCTGGAATAAATTGCTGGGGTTGGTATAAAGCTGTCAAAAACACAATGCTCACTGCTTCAGGGCAGCTGTTCCCCATCTACAGCTTTCTCTGATGGATATTATGTCTAAAGGTAACAGGGAACACTTGCATTATTGGAAAATCCAAGTGAAAACCATTTAAAACAAGTAACAGTCTAGGGAAACCAATTATTAAAATGCTCTGTGTGTGTTTAACAATACGATATCCTGTAGGACCTGACGTTTTCTTTTTGAAACATCAGCAGGGTGAGTTGCACCACTTGTATCTAATTCCCAACACCCCCTAGGACATAGTGAAACTTGCACTTACCCTCTGCTCAAGATCCATCCCTGCCCCCGGGCCGGCGCGCGGCCCTCGGGCGCACAGCCCACGCTGGGAAGGTGTGAAGGAGCCATGCAGAAGCAGGACTCTCCGCAGGCATCGCAGCCAGACCCCCTTCCCGCTGCCGGGGAGCGCAGGGCTGGAAGGAGCGCCCCGCTCTGCCCTGCCCTTCCGCGGAGGGGAGCTGCTCGCTGCGCTGCCCCGCGGGGACGGCCGGGCGCGGCGCCGGTGCCGTGGCTGGTCCCTGCGGCAGGCGCCGGGGCACCGGGGCGGCTCCGAGC